GTTTAATCTTTTAAAAGCATATCTAGCAAAAGATATGGTTTTAAAAGTCTGTTTTGATTTTGTTATGATATGACTCATGGATGCATATCAGCAACAGGAACAGTGAAGTCAACAGAAAAGGCCTGCAAGAAATATGCCTTAAAACAAAATTAAAAAAAAAAAGAGGTTTGTTTATATAGTAAACATCATAATCATGTGTGGCATACTAAGGTGGTAAAAAAAACAACAGTATTACTAACTACTATTGCCAAAGCAGGTTTCACTGAACTGCATAGCTAAAGAGGTAATGTAGTTATGAACCCAAATATTATTGCCCTTTACAATTTAAAACATGGTTTGTATAGATGTGGGTTAGCTACAGCTCTATGTGTACTTGTCAGAATTTAAAACAATAAAGTGGATAACAAAAGTAGCCATAAAATAAATAGTCACTTAGTATTGCTCTGCCAAGTAAAGACAAAACTTGGCAGGGCAATACTAATAGACCTTCCTATATTTATGAAAAGTAATGTACTCAGTGAGTCATCTACCCTTCATCTTCTGGGATTAACTCTTACTTCTGATCTTTCTTGGAAATCTTGTATCAAATCCGTTGCAAAATTAGCATCTGCTAAAGTTGCATCTCTTTATCGAGCTTGATACTTTCTTACTCTGAATTCTATTCTTCATCTCTATAAATCTCAAATCCGGCCTTGTATGGATACTGTTGCTATATCTGGGGAGGATCTTCTAATGATGCCCTTTCTCTTTTAGACAAGGTGCAAAAACGCATTGTAAACATAGTGGGACCTGCTCTTGCAGCCAACCTTCAACCTTTGTCACATCGTCGTAATGTTGCTTCTCTTTCTCTTTTCTACAAATACTGTAATGGGCACTGCTCTAAAGAACTAGCATCTCTTGTGCCATCTACTAAAATTCATTCTCGTGTTACTTGTCATTCAATTAAGTCTCATCCTTTTTCTGTTACTGTTCCTAAGTGCTCCAAAAACTCTTATTCATCTAGTTTTTTTCCTTAAACATCAATTCTTTGGAATTCGCTTTCTTCATCTTGCTTTCCTGATTCATATAATTTGCAATCTTTTAAGTTGTCTGTCAATCGTTGTCTTGCTCTACAATCTTCATCTTTTCTCTTCCAGTAACTTCTAACACTAATTAGTGGTTACTTGCAGCCTTATTGGAAGCAAAGATGTTTAAATATATATATATACTAATGAAAATAAGCTTATATCTAGGATAAATTTTCTGATGGCAATTGCGAAAAGTTTAGCAGGAGGGTATTTTCCAGTAAAAGTTATTTCAAAAAGACAAGCATCTAGAAAGACTTTTGTGGCTAGAAGTACCATTGTCCCATGACCACTTCCGCAACATGCTGCAGATAACAATTAGTACAGAAAAAAAAAAGTGTAACTGGACAGAAAGCTTCTTTTGTGGGAGTTATAATGCTTAGTTTAAATAAATTTTATGATATACCTCAACTTAACTTATTAAAGGGGTATATATTTCATTTGGTTGATAAATTTTTTTTATTTTTATTTTATGTTCATTATTTTTATGTTTTTTTGTGTTCATAATTATTTTAAAATTGTTTAATATGTTTTAATAATTTAGTTTTGAAAATTTTTGATTTAAATTTATTATTCATAGTATTTTTAACCAAACCGGGAACGATAAAAAATGTTTTAATTAGTTACCACTGCTGTAATATTTTATTTTATCACCCTTTGTAATGATCATTGAACATAGACTGTAACAAGGTAGGCTGCCAAATGATTAGACTGACAGTCTAAATTTAGTTTTGAAATTAGTTCAGTTAAAGGGATCCCAAAGTGCAGAGACAAGTTGTGTTCATATTAAAAAGAATGATAGAAAAAAATGTTTGGGCTGAATTTTTTGAGTAAAACAAAATAATTAATTTATACCAAGAAAAACCAACTTTGTTGTTTTACTCAAAGCTCCCCTCTCCATGTTAGCCAGTTGCTTTAAGTCGTTTATTTTATATAACTTTATATCAAACTATAAAAAGTAGTACTTCGGTACGCAAAAATGTTGGTCAATAACGGACGCTACTTTGGATTATTCTTAATGACTATTTGTGGCTGTTTCTATGCTAAGCCAACAATATCTTCGGATATGAGAATATTGTATAGAAAAATATAGCATGAAAATTCAAATAAATAAATAAAATAAATAACTAATATTTATTGTTATTAAATAATTATTATCCTTATTAAGATTCTGTTGAAAAACTTTTGTATTATTTAACTTTATAAAAGATTAATAGGATTTATTTACTAAACTTTTTATCAGGAACAAGTATTCTCCAAGTTCTTATTTAATTATGCAAGAATATATTTAATTATGCAAGAATATATTTAATGAAGTTTAATCTGTAAAACATGTATTGCTTATTTTATTTTTAAAATTAAATAATTATTGCTCAAAATTGCAAAAAAGTAAAAAAAAAAAGAAAAAAAGTATACCATTATCGAGTCAATTTTAAAATTGAAATCGTTTAACAAAAAACTTTTTACTGTCAATTTTGGCAGTTTTTTGATTTGAAATGTTAAGAGACAGGTTTTAATGTAAAATACTTGCCAAATATGACATAAATTGGGAAATATTAAATATAATATGTTTTTAATGCGTTGCAACACATTGACAATTTTAATCGCCATCTGTCTTATTAATTGTTGTAATAAAACATTAATTATTGGTTTAATTAATAAAAAGCTGTCTGTAAATTCTCTAGATATTCTATAGAAATTCTATAGATAGTGTAAATTCTATAGATATTTTCTAACTAAAAGTTAAAGAATTTGGCAAATATCTCTAATAAACGATGTTGTTTACCAAAATTATCAATTAAAAATTTAAGTATTTGTAAAATGTCATTTCCATAGGAGAACAAAATCATAGCAATAAACAGCTTAGATAAACTAGAATAAAAGTTCTCATTGTTTACATAAAAACAAAAAAGATTCAGAATATATAACAAGGTGATCGTCATCTTTTTTATATATTTATTATATTTAAGAATGTATCATAAAAATATTAATTTTATTTGGTTCTCGCGCTTATAAAAAAACATTCTTTTGTTTAGCTTCCTATAAAATTTTAACGAAAGTCGTACAATTGATGATAAACGCTTATTTTAAAGTACAAATGAAACAAAAACAAATAATATTAGTTCAAAAGAAAAAAAAAAATCCTACAATGATGTCATATACTAAAACTCTTTGGAATTAAACACACTTAAAAGTCTGTAGATTGCAGCATATATTTTAAAAATCTAAAACAACTGGCAACATGGAGACAGCAAGCTTCGAGTAAAATAATAAAGTTAGTTTTTCTTGGTATACGTTTATTTTTATTTTTTTGTCCAAAAATATTCAGCCAAAATATTTTTTTTTAATTTATTTTTAATATAAACACAACTTATCCAGACACTTAGGGAAATCTTTAAAGACAAAAACAAGTGACATTTTTAAATTTAAAAATGCAATGTGGCATTTTTTTTTTTTTTTTTTTTTTTTTTTTTTTTTTGCTATTAAGGAGTTGTCCACAAATTACATCACACAATTTTTTTCAAATTTAGCCCTACGAAACCCCTTCCCCTTCCTATAACAAATTGTCATGTTTTACTCCCGCTCCCCCCCCCCCCCCCCTCCACAAAAAAAAAAAAAATTACATAACAAATTTGTACCCAACTCCCCCTCCCTCTCTAATTTTTTTTTTTAATGGTTTTAAATATATTTAATTTTCTTAGTTGCTTTTAGTTGTCTACATTTTAACACTTTTTAATAGAGATTTTAATTAATATTATTTAATATTGCTCTTTTGTATGTGCATACAAATAAATAGTCCACAAAAAAAAAATTATTTGTATAGAAAAAATGTTTAAATATTTTATTTTTTACTTGATCTACATATTGGTGTAGAGTGGTGGGTGATTATATTTGCATATTTTGAGGCCTGGCCAATAAGGGTGACGATTCAATTACCTTAGCAGAAAGAAATTTTAGATTTTGATGTTTTATTTAAAAGTTGTTTTACATGTTTTAACTAATACTGTTGTTCAATTATAACTATATTTATTTATTATTCAAATTTTTTAAAGTTTCACACAATAATAATCAATGCGTGCATAAATTGAATGATATGACCGTAGTCACAGTGTAGTTACAAACATTGACTAACTTAAATAGGTATGGGGGAAGTGAAGTGTACATATATTATTTTTAACACTTTTATAGTTTGATATAAAGTTATATAAATTAACAGTGACTAAATGAACAAATTACCCCCGAAAATATATTATTTAAATAACTTGTTTAGCAATATGTTAATGTCACGATGCAGGTTATATTAACATTGTAATATGCTAATGCGTTTTAACTATTTTTGTTGTTTACTATATTATTATTTTTATTTAATAACTATATTATTTTTAATTATTTTTTAATTAATGATATATCAGCTATATCATCAGCTAATAAAGCCGTAGATGTAGTGGACTCTTTATTAATCAACTTAAATATAAAGTCAATTTATAAAAAATCCAATTTATGTTAAATTGGAATAGCCGCACTGTGAATTAAGGGTTTATGCTTTAGGCTAGACACTCTTTTAAACAATAATAAAGGTTTTTAGATTTAAAACTTGAAAAAAAAAATGCATCAAAAAACTTAATCCTACATTACCCCCCTTTCCCCGGTAACAAATTGTCAGAAAATAGCTAACACCTTCCCACCCTTCTCTATTGCATGATGTAACTTGTGGACAACCCCTAAAATTTTTTTAAAAAATGACAGTTCATGACATTAGACTATAACTTAATTTTTATAAAAAAATTTCAAAAGCTATTTATATTACAGTCTTTTCTCTATTATTTATTGACTTTTTTGAGCTTTCATATAAAAACTAATAAAACTAGATTTATGCATGATATTGTTAAAACATTTTTGTTTAGATTTTTTTATAATCAGATTTTTTTTTTATAGTACTTGTTGCTGGAAGTTTAATAGGTTACGAGAGGAATATAAATATACGTAATAAGCACAAGGAATTAAAAAAGAAATTGCATTCATCAGTCCTAAATGCTCAGGTTTGTTTAATATTATTTTTATATTATTATTACTATGAATATTTATTTTACTATAATAAAATTAGATTTAATTTTTAAAAAGTAAAATTTGTATATTATATATATATATATATATATATATATATATATATATATATATATATATATATATATATATATATATATATATATATATATATATATATATATATATATATATATATATACATATATATATAATATATATATAATATATATATATATATATATATATATATATATATATATATATATACATACATCCATAAAATATGTATACATTGAGGGGAGGTCTGCAAGTATCTTATGTATATGAAAAGAATACTTTTAATATAAAAGTTCACTCTTCGTCTTTTCTTGTTTCCTCTTCTAAGTCTAATAAATACTTGTAGAATAGAGTGTTTGGGTTTTAGCAATTATATGAAAACTAATTTAGGCTCTATGTCTTATAATAAACTAAACTTTGTTTTTTTATTTTTTTATCTAAATAAAAATAATAAATTTTTATTCAGAAAAAAATCTTATTAATCAAAAATAAAAATTATTTTTCATTAATAAGATGCTTCTCTTTCAAAAATGAATTTCATTAATAAGATGCTTCTCTTTCAAAAATGAATTTCACTAATATTAAATTACGAAAAAGTATTTTTATCTTAAGTAAAATAGTCTAAAAGTCATTCATCAAAATCTTGTTTTGTCTTTTACAGAGATTAAGTCTAGTTTAGCTTTAAACAAGTTGAGATTTTTAACTTCCACTGTTTCAATTGGTAATTTGTTCCAGAATTTGACTGTGTGATTTGTAAAAAACCCTCACGATTTCAATTTAAATATTTCTTATTGGTGAATATGTTTGTTACCTCGAAAACGGGTCTGAAATATTTAAAGAGTACGAATGTTAAGGGAGTATTTTCCAAGTTATTTTCTCTAAATCATAATACCATTTGTACATTTGTATTAGTTCTTGCTTTTTATTATTTTTAGTCATGAAATATGATTTTTATTTTTGTTACTAATATGCACAATTTTACATTTTTCAAAACTGAATTGCATTTTCCAATTTATTACCCATTTTTCTAACATAGCAATGTCATTTTGTGAAACATGTGCAATCGTTTGATTATTAACTTCAACTATTACTTTGCAATCATCTGCATACAGCAATAATTGGTTTGTAAGTTGAATTGGAAGATCATTGATGTATATTAAAAATAAAATTGGACCAAGCACAGAACCTTGTAGTATACCGCTTACTATGTCCACCCATGATGATACACTTTCTCCAAGTACAATTATTTGCTTCCTATCAGTTAAAAAAGAAATTATCCACTTTAATACGTAGATGTAATGCCATATATTTTTAGTTTTAGTGCTAATCTCTTATGTGAAACTTTGTCAAAAGCTTTTTTGAAATCAGTATAAAGAATATCAAAGGATTTACGATTTTCAACACCTGTTGTTACAATATTCATGTGCTCTAGAAGATAAAACTTTTGTAAAATTAAAAAATAATAAATTGTTAGTCTTTAAATAATGTAAGAGTTAGATATTAAACGTTCTAAAGTTTCACAAAGACTTGAAATCAAGGAAACTGGTCTATAATTTAAAACTTTATTTCTACTGCCATTTTTATACAACAGCTTTATGTTTGCTGTCTTCCAGAATTGTTATCAAGGCTAAAAATAACAAGGTCAAGGTCAACCCCAAGGCCACATGTTCCAAGGACTAGGAAAAGGCCAAGGCCAAGAGTTTAAAGGTCAAGGACAAAAGTTTTAAGGCCTACAAAAACATATATCAAGTTTTACAGTTTTTGATTTATAGCCTTTATTTGCCATTTTATAAAATCCTTTGTTTATTAAATAGAGTTAAAATATTCATTGAACAATACGCCTTTTACTTCCACACTTTTTTTAAATCTTTTTCAATTTTTTAAATACAAAATTAACATTTTTGAAGATATTTTTCCTTATATAAAGTTTTACTTTTATTTAAAATTGGATTGCAGCCATTTGGCTGCCATAAATTTTTAAATAAAAGTATGGCACTTTTAAATAAAAGTAATATATTTATGCTTATAAAGTTATTCTGTCTTTTTTTTATTAAATAGTGTTTCAAATTAACAGATTAGTGTGCCATAGTGGCTGAAATGGTTATCTCGCTGCGTTTCCATAGTACAACGCAATGGTTCAAATCCTCTCGCTTGCATATTGATTATTATTATTTTAAAATATTTTCTAATTTTCTAAAATACAAAATAAAACATTTTTAGAGTTCTATTGATGTTAGATACATAACATACATAAAGATATTATATACTATAACAAACATAGCATACATAAAGATATTATATACTATAACAAACAAGATATATAACATACATAAAGATATTATATACTATAACAAACAAAAGAGTTAGAAACATAACATACATAAAGATATTATATACTATAACAAACAAAAGAGTTAGAAACATAGCATACATAAAGATATTATATACTATAACAAACATAACATACATAAAGATATTATATACTATAACAAACATAACATACATAAAGATATTATATACTATAACAAACATAACATACATAAAGATATTATATACTATAACAAACAAAAGAGAGAGTTTTTAAAAAAGCTTAAAATTTCAATAAATTTTTTGTGCATGTCACAATAGAGATACTCGTTAGTCACAATAGAGATACTCGTTAATTACCTATGTACGTTAATTACCTAAGTACATAACTTTTTTGTGCATGTCACAATAGAGATACTCGTTAATTACCTAAAGTACATTAAGTTATAATGTACTTAGGTAATTAGTTAAGTCTGTGCGTTTAACACACATTAAAGAGATATTTTTTTTTCTTATAGGAAAAAAGATTTTGCATTCAAACTTTATTTTCTTCAAAATTATTGGGGAAAAGATCCTAATAAGCTGTGGATAGTCTGAAAAAAAATTTAATAAAAACGTTATAGAAACTTAATAATGAAAAAAATTGTATTTTATTTTTTACAATAATAAGTTATAAAGTATTGAACATTAATCATGAAGGGGACATCCATATATTATGTACGCAAAAAATCTTCAGATTTGGACCCCCCCTCTCTCTCTCCCCTGTTGCACATCATACATTTATATTCACACACACACCCCCCTCTCTTTATGTGTACATATGCTTGATGGTCTTACCCTCAAATCTTTGTTTTGCTTAAAAGATTAAAATGTTTACATTTTTATTTTTTAAGCAAAAAGTAAAAATGTTTTTTTACTTTATTGATATTTTGTTCAGAGTAATATGGTATAACCATGACACCATGGCTGTAGAAAGCAGCTATGTGTTAAATGCATGTGTGTGCAAGGAAGTAAATTTTCTGTGTTAGAACTTAATTTTATCAAGTCACAAAATTTGCACATTACCAGTCTTGTATTTTACACATACCATATTGGTGGGGTTGACATCAAAGAATCATCAAAAATAAAGAAAATCAAAGAAAAAGAAAAGCAGAGTATAGAGAAAACAAATTTTAAATAAAAAAAGAAAAAATTACAATCATCCATCAAAAGATTCTGGATGATTATAATTGCTTAGCAAATTTATTAAGTAATTGTAGAAAATGTTTGTTAGATAGTAAAGTAATTTAAGTGAATGTATACTTGACTCTTATTTAGAAAACGAAATTTGATGTCATGATTTTTTATAAAAACATCATTTTATCAACATTTTTTTGTTTGTTTATAAAAGTTTTGTTAACAGTTATTAACAATAATACTATATTAATAACATAAGATAAGATATTGTATTCACTTTCTAGGTTGAAAAAACAAATAAAAAGCACTCAGAACCAAATTTTTCCAAAGAGTCAGAACCTTTTGAAAATATTGTCAAAGTTGTCAAACAGACATAACAAATATTGCAATTGTCAGAATGAGACTGGTTTATCTAGACTAGTTTATCACTTTTTTAAAAGAAATTTTGAAAACAGCAGCATTTATTGATGCTAGGCTTAAAACAAAGAATAATACATAGTTGGTTATCGATTACAACAACAAAAAAAGAGGGCACAAGAGAAGTTAGAAATGGAGTTAGGTAGTATATTTGATAAAGATCTTGAAAATAGGGTTCTTCCATTATTATTTTTTAAACAATACAAAAATTTATAACAATTCAATGATAGTTCTTATCATATCAAATACTTATAATATATAAAGATAAAAATATAGATTTCTTATCATATCAAATACTTATAATATTTTAAACTTATAATATTTAAGAGACACCCTTTATATTAATTGGAATTCTCAGGAGATATTGTAATACCAAAATAAAAAGATTAGCTTGGTATAAACATATAGAACTTACAAACATGGTGTATAAAATAAAGAAAAAAGAGTTTGAGTTGTGGAAATTATTTGTAAGTCCTCTGAAAATGAATTTGAACTAATGTTGATGATTATAACCATAGACACCAAAGAACACCTGATATTAACATTGATGCTCAAAAATTTTTAGCCTCATCTGTTGCTATTAAAGATTTTAATATTATTAAAATTATTATTTTATTTGTCAATTGAGTTTTTATACAGTTGAGAAGTGTGTGTAGATGTAGCTTCTGTAACAGCTGCATTATCATTTTGTCACATCATAAATTGTTGAGCTTGTCTGTATCCTAGTAGTTATTTGGCGAAGAAAAACATGCAAAATTTATGATTTGATAATTCTTCTTCAGTATTTGAAACAGAGCAGTTTTTACTGTTAGGCAGCCACCAAAGTGGTTTAGTGGCTGCTTAACGGAAAAACATTTTCATTTAGGGGCAGCAAAACAAAAATTTTATATATCTTCAAGATTTATCTTCAAAGTTACAAGAAAGAAAGAAATTGTAGCATCTAAACAAGAGTTCTGTAAAATGCATTAAAAAAAGCCATAAAATTAAACAAACACAACTCAGAATATTTAAAATGATTGCCTTCACACTAAAGCTTGCCATTGCAAAAGTCGTATTTATAGTAAAGAAACTTTTATCAGCAACATTAAAAAACCTGAATGGTATGTAACACAAACCATTCACTAATGCTTATTTAATGTTATTTATTTTTTACTTATTATTTATATTTTATATTTTTTTATTTGGAGTTCATAATATTTTATATATTATTTTAAATAATATTTACTGGAAATGATATTTACACCCAGAAAGTAAATTTGTGTTTAAGAAAACCCACCAAAACTCAAAAGTGGATTGGGAGGTAGAAATTGCTAAAAAAAATTTTGGACATAAAGGATAGCCTTGCATGAAAAATCGAATACCAAAAATAAGAAGAAATAAAAAAGTAAATAAAGAAGATGAAAAAAAAACCACAACAAACTATTACTTTTATCGTTTTTAATATAATTTTTTTATGTCAGTTATTTGTTACTTTTTAGCAATTTTCAATTGTTTGTAACTTTCTAGCTTTGTGTAAATAAATAATTTTTTTATAAAACGAGTTACTAATTGTTATACTAATTATAGGTTCACTTATTATAATTATTATTATTGCTATCATTAATGTTGTTAATATTATTTTTATTATTGTTATTGATGCGTGTTGTAAACTCTATCATTATAAATTGTGAACATAAGCATTATATATTATTTTTACTATATTATTAACGTTAGTAGGTTTATTTTAAATTTTCATCTTTTTTATTTTAATACACGCCTTCTTTTATTTATTAATATTGTTGTTGATTCTTTATTGTTGTTGTTGTTTTCCTTTTATTTAGTTGTCACTCCATTGACTAGTTTCTAACTACATACGTGACATCTAACCTAATTTTGTAAAAATTTTAAAATTTGTAATTTTTCAATTTTTTTCAAATAAGTGGATAACTAAACATAATTTCATAAAACTTTGTTTAAATATTTTTTTTAAGTTTTAAAAAAATTTTTTTAAGTTATTTCGATAAAGTGTGCGTTCTCACCACAGAGTTTTTAAAACAAAAAATATTTAAATATTGTGTACGCTCTCGCCGCAAAGTTTACGCAATTATATTGGGTTTTCCAAACCATAGTTAGACTGCGGTGGTTATAAAAAAACGCATGTTTTTGTTCACGTTACCTAAAGCGTTTCAGTTTATGACGCAATTGAAGACTTTTGACTAAACGAAAATTGTAATAACGTACGTTTTGATGATGTCAAATTGTTTGTCCGAATATCAATCCACAACCATTTGCGTTTTTAAGAATTCTATTGTTTCTGTGCAATATTTGTCCGAATATCATGCAATGCCTAATTATGCTACTGAGGATAAAAAATTTATACGACACAAATTTACTTATTTCAAGTGAAGGATATCGCTTTTCTACTTTTATTTAAAACACACATCAAAGTATATGTTTTCATCTACAATCAGCAAATCAAATTTAAAAAAATTCAAAAAATTCAAAAATACAAATACTAAATTTAAAAAATTAAAATTATATAAAAAATAGCTTTTAAAATACATGAAATAAGTAATTTTTTTTTAATTTTTGTTTTAAGATTTACATTTTAAATTTATATTTTGTTATATCAATTTATATTTCTCATTCAAAAAACCGATATTTTTTTAATTTATATTTTGTTATATTAATTTTTATTTCTAATTTAAGAAACGAGATTAACTATTTTCTCTTCCTTTAATGATATTTATATTGTCATCGAAAAAGGGAAACCCCAAACTATTTTAAAAGATTTTTGTATTGACGTCAAATATTAGGGCATTTCCCTTTCTGTGCGTGATTTTTTTACCTGGCAATTATAGAAATATACATACTATTATGATTTTCTTAAAAAGCAATTACAAGAAAAATATTTTTGTTATATTTTAAGCTACCTGAATGTTTAAATATGTAAATTTTTATATTTTTTTGTATTTGTGTGTTAGTGTTACAATAATTTAAAAAATAAACAATAATTTTTAAACGCTATACCCTAACTATAAATATTTTATGACTGCTATTTCTCATTGAAAATATATTAAATATGAGTTGTAGAAATACATTTCACTTGAAAAACTCACAAGCAAAATATTTTCATAAAAAAAACTATATGAAATCGACAAATTTGCAACCTCCGTGCGTGACTTCCGTGCGTGACTTCCGTGCGTGACCATACATGAACTGCATTTAAACGATTGCTGTGACTTTATGATACATAATGCAATCCTGTAGTTTTCTGGAAATCTTTACTAATATCTAAAATATTATAAAAAAAAAGTGCTGAAACTTTTTTTAAGTTATAATTATTAACTTTTATTTTTTTTAGTTATATTATTATAATTATTAACTTATTAACTTAGTTATATTATTATAATTATTAACTTTTATTTTTTTTAGTTATATTATTAACTTTTATTTAGTTATAATTAAAGTTAATTTATCTAGTAATTAAAAATTGCGTTTTTCTATTCCGTGCGCGATTCTGCTTCAAACTTAATTTATTCTTTAATAACAATACTAATGTATACATTTCTTTGTTTTCAAAATATTTATATAGATTATAAATAAATGAGAGTAAATTGAAGATTACTAGTTTTATTTTTTTGAAAATAGTAGACAAAACATATACGAGTTTCCGTGCGTGATTTTTTGGAAATGCCCATTATCTAAAGCACATTATTCAGTTCTTTTTTTAAAAAACTTAATAAAAGAACTGGAACTTACCTAAAAATGATGAGGTTTTTTGTTAATATCTTGATAAATGATTTTTTTTCGCAGTAAACTTATTTTCTAAAGTTGATTTGATATATGAACACAATTTGTTTTCTGAGGTCTATTTGAAATATGAACACAACTTGTCAGGTTTCTTTCTCAGGTTTATTTGAAATATGAATATTTTAAATACTTGTTTTGGCACTAGGAGATCTTTTTAAGAATCGTTAATTTAACAGAGTGGCGAAAGACTCTGTAAAGAGTGTGATTTACACCATGGTACAATTGTAATTATGTTGATTATCAGCATTTTTATCAGTTATCTCAATAAATACCTTTATCTCGTTAAAAAAATTGTAACAAATTTGTAGATGATACTAGATAAACAAAAATGATTATGCTCAGCGATTTCTGTAATAGTTGTAAGGTAATAATTGTAACATTTTTAAAATAGTGGCCATGTGTTCTTTGTTAAATATAGCAATAGAAAATATAGAAAAAAAGAGTGTTCAGGGTTTCTAGTCTAACAAAATTATATTAGTGGATATTTAGAATAGGGTTGTCAAGGTAAACTTTTGTAATGCAGTTAAAGTGTAATTCATGTTTTGTCTTTAAAAAATGTACTATAAAAGTTTTTCTATTAAAATATGGATATTAATTGGTTGATGTATTCCTGTTTTTATAATTTGTTAAACATTTTGTGTGTAGAATGCAGTTAAAGAAGGTAACTATGAAGCTGCAGTTGCTCATTACAGAGAATCTCGAAGTATTGTTAATGATGTTGCCATGACCAGCACAGAAGTGCAAAAAAAAGTTTTGCTAAACATTGTTGAACAGGTTATAACTTTTTTTAATTCATCAATAAGTAAATTCAATATATATTTATATATTATAAAGATTGTTATTTCAACTGTGCCAATATATTTCAATAATCTCATTAAAGTATTTTTTTTTAGTTAGGTCACTTGGCTTATGCTTTAAATAATTGGTCAGAGGTATGGATATTTAAAATTGAAAGTTAACTAATTTATCAACACAATGTTTTTTTTTTTTGTTTTTTTTTTTAGTATTATTTCTTATTTTAATTTTATGTCTATTCACTGTTTTCAATGTTTCACTGTTTTACACATATTACTAGGTAAGGTCATTCTTACTTAATATTAAACGTGTACAAGGGTTGGTTAACAGTTAATGTTTTGTGAGAAACTTATGCTTTGAAATAGTCAACCCTTATTAAGTGGAGTATAATATGCTCCTTAATATTTTTCAGTATAATATTTTTAATAAAGGTAAAAAAAATTAATTATGTTTTTAAAATCAAAAACAAATTATTTTGTTTAAAAAAAATTCATCTCTTATAATCACATTAAAGATTCAATAGTTTTTAACGTGATGTTGTAATACGGTCGTGGTGTAGTGGTAGAGCGTTCGCTTTGAGTAAGCGAAAGTATCTGGTTCGCCTTGGTGAGGTGAATACAGTGAAATAATAATAATAACAATAATGATTTATGACAAAATTTTATATGCAGTTTTTCAGATTTTTTAAGTATGTAGTTTTTCTAATTAAAATAAGTATTGAGAATTTGCATTATCAAGATTATGTGAAGTAATATGTGTTTCAAATGGTCAAAGAAAACATTTAAAAGTTCGAAATCAAAACAATTGTTTGAAAGTACATAAGAAAAGTTTTAAAATACAACGAATTCAGCAAATTCTTCCGAGTAATAACTTTCTATAAAATATATATATTTTTTAAATTTTTCTAACTAAGCATAATTTAAATTCCTTTACTTCATTACTTTAATGAAAAGTATTTTACTTTTGAAATCTTCTTTTTTTTTTCCATGTATGTAGAAGATAATCATTCGAAATAAATATTGTAATTATATAAATATAGGGAAACATTAAAGAATCGGATTCTAATGATAAATAAATTTTTAAACTAAAATAAAAATAAAATTTTGTTAATATGTCTTTGTTTCAATCATTATACGAAACCTTTCGGTTTCGATTTTTGTTTGAGTAATTTAAAAAATTAGCAATTTATTTTTCTTGATTTTTTTTTTGTTTTGTTTTTGTTGCTGATAATTTAGATAAGTTTTAACTTTATATCTATTTAACGGCATTAAATCCTAAAATACGGGTGATTCAGTGACCGCTACATTAATCAGATTTTGGTATTATAGTATAAGATATTTTATGCGAGTAAAAATAAAGGAGATAATATGTCAATATAACCATTAAAATGTTTTAACGGCTTAATAGTTAAACTGATTTATTGAAAAAATTGAAAGAATCAAGTTTACTGTCAAACTATATCGAGCTGTTATAATAAATTTCGATTTAAGTTTTGAATCTTTTAAATTAAGTTTCATTTTCAATTTTAATAAAAAAAAAAAAAAAACTTTTTAAATGGTTTTATTTTCGTGGTTTAAGGTAAATTGTGGGTGTGTTTAACTTAAATCCTGATTATTTAGTGACGTAATGTCGGCATTATATTCTGATTAGGTGGTCTTTTGTATATGAGGTTTATGGTCATATTGGTGATATTATTTATTCGATCATTTTGATTTTTTTAATAATTTATGGAGGTTTATTTTTTGCACATTTTGCGTTTTAGGCTGAAATGTTTCTCAAAGAAACTGAGAAGATTATGCTAGATATTGGAGTCGAAAAAGTTGGTTTTCTTTTTTTTTTATTTTATTATTATTTTATTTACTTTAAATGTATTTCGAGTCTCAATTTATTATTTTAATTGTATTAGTTTATTAAATATAGTATAATTAAAATTTTTAATATATTAACTAGTGAACGTTTTAGGCCGTAATTTTAACTAGTATGTAGTTTTTATATTTTCAACCGTGGTTTGAATTGAAACTCGTATATTTGACTTACCATGAAATATTAATACTTATCAAATTAAAATACAAATAAAATTTAAAGGTTATTCAAATATAACATTTTGATTTCTCGCTCCACCGTTCTGCATCACTGTTTTTAATAATTCAATTCAAGCTCTATATATGTAACAACTTATACGGCTAATTATGCAAACAATTTAAAAAATGGGTGAATGTTATTTTATTGCTATAGAATAAGAATTAAAAACTGCTTTTTTTAACGGGTGCTTATTCACAACATTTTTATAACTTTTTTATAGCTGAGAAGTTACGAAAATCGTACGCAAATATTTTTTTCTTATTCACAAGTTTGCGCTTGAGTTACGCAAAAGCTTAGGTGTTTTTTTAAACAAAAACGTAACTTTTGGAGTATCGCTCCCATTTTACTTTACAAAGAAAATAATAGATCGTATGAATAAAATATTGCAAAGATTCCAGTTACAATTGGTTTACTATTTCATTCAGTTTATTTTTTAATAGTTGTCTTTTTTCAGGATCTACAGGCAACTTATTGAAAAAAAGACTTTTGGGCTTAGTTGGCAAAATTTTCACGAAGCAAGTTAGCTCATAATATTTATTACAAAAAAAATTTTTTCTTCATAAAATTAAATTTTTTTTTAATTTGAGAAAATTTATTTAATATATATATATATATATATATATATATATATATATATATATATATATATATATATATATATATATATATATATATATATATATATATATATATAATTAACATGTTAAGATGTGCTTAATATATACAAAATAATATGCTAAACGTCTGTACGTTAGTTATTTTATTTCAATAATATAATCATAACGTATATCAATAATGAACAAAGCAATACGAAATGAATCACCATAACATAAGCGCCATTTTATTATTTAAATGATATGTAAGTTACGCCAAATATAAGTCAATACAGACGTAAATAGCAGACGTAAATTTTCTTGCTTAAAGTTTGCTGAGCATTTTTTTTAAAAATGTGAATAGATTTTCAGAATTTTTGCATAATTAAAAACTTACGCAAAAACGTAAGTTTTGTGCGCAAGGAGTTACCCAAGATTTGTGAATAAGCCTTTGCGGATCTTTGAACTTAAAGAAAAGTTAACACCAATTTTTGACTTATCAAAGTATTGTCAATAAGCTCCTGTTCTTGGTGGGTAAATCTATTGTTATTCTTGGTGGGTACATCTATTTTTGAGGAAAAAACTATAGTGACATGTACTATCAACATTTTAATATTCTTCATCTTATTCTTAAAGTAAAAATATTTAAAAAATAAATTTGATTAGAAAATATTTTATGTCTGAGTTTTCTTGAAATAAAAATTTCTAATTAAAAAACATTAAATATTCTAGAATAGCGATGCATATATAGAAGTTATGCTTCGTCTTGCCAAGATTGATGTGATAAATAATAGAGGCAAAGAAGCTATGGATAGATTTAAGTTTTGTATAGAGAATCTTGAAAGAAAAATATCTGTTCAAGATGTTTATTCCGAACCAGATAGTCCAGCATACGAAAGGTATATCAAATAAAATATTTGTGTAGAATATTTATTTTAAAAAAAACTAGCGTCTATTTTGATTTTATTATTTTCATAAATAGGATAACTTTATATGGGATGGTCTTGACTGAATACGGTACATACGCCAAAGGGGCCGGTCTACTTGATGAATCTGAACGCGCTTTTTCAAAAGCACTAAATATATGTAGAAATATTCTTGGACCTACTCATGAACAGGTAAATTTTACATAAAGTATGTTAAAAAATAGGCAGTTGGCTTTATTACTAAATTTGTGATCTATTAAACAGACATCCGTTTTGGCGAATGACTTAGCTACAGTGTACGATGAAAAAGGTCGTTACAACAAAGCTATTCGGTTAGCTGAGAAAGCTATTCGTATCGCGACTGAAACTGCACCTGAAAATCTTGCAACATACAAGTATAATTTAGGCCACATTCTTATGCATCAAGGTAAGCTTAAATATAAAAGTTAATTTTAAAATTTGTATGTGTAATTGTAAATTTAAGTATTTTTCAGGTGACCTTGTTAGAGCTCGAAATGCTTTAAGAGAATCTTTAAAGCTTGCTGAAGAACATCAAGACGATGAAACTCGAAAACTCGCGGAGTCAAGTATTATGAAACTGGATATTAGCCAATGATAATGTTGTATCGTTAAGAAGCCCAACCGAGTTAATTGTCAACTTTAACATGATAATAAATTGTAATAAGAGGCTATTCAAAGATATTTAAATACTCAAATGAGGTCAAGGATATAAGTCACGGAAGATGAGCTAAGAAGTTGTTATCTCTTCTCGTGGCATAATTTGTCTATTTTTTTCCAATGTTCGTTTGTTTCGCTTTAATTTATGTGTAAATATATAAAAAAGCAAATTTATCTTAATGTAAAAAAAGTATTGATTTATTATTACGCGAAGTTTAAGCTCAAAATAGACAGACCTTTTTGTTTGTGGTTATTATTTTTATTAATATTATTTATTGAATCTATGATAATTTTTCTTGATTTATTGATGTTATGTTATAATAGTATTTAAAATAAAAAATAGTGAAACGTTAGATATTACGGGAACCAATTGAAAATAAAACAAGTTATAATTTTTAACTTTATTCAATAAGTTAAAAGAGCGTAAATAACTTATTTGGTAATATTTTGATGATTCGGAAAATGGCGCGCTCGTTGTTTTTCTATAGAAATTAAAATTGTGTGAAAATGCATCTTAGCTTCTGTTAGATATTCTAATGGGTTTCCAAATTTTAATATTTATAATCAATAAAAAGTTAACAAGCTAAAAAATACTTGAAGATTTAGAGTTATACTTTTAAATCTTTTGTGACTGTTATTTGACGAAGTTAATGATTTTTTAACATCGAGCTAAACTTCAAATTATTAAAAATATAAATTTTGGGGCTGATTACATGGGTAAAATTTAGCCCCCTTATCTGTGCTGAAATTTTACTCGTCTGACAGTTCACGATTGAGCTTTTATATGGTGTTTGGACTGAGTTTTCCTCCGGTTAAAATAACCTTATCTATTATATGAAATTGTAACTTTGTTTTTTAAAATTGTGAATATTGGAAGAAAATACTTTATCAATGGAAAACCTCTTGTTCAAAAAAAGTATACACAATTACAAAAAATAAATATCTATTTAATTTACTTTATTTAATTACACAGTAAAAAAATACCCGTTATATTTTTAAAAAACATAACGCTTGATTATGTTTAATGTATAATTCGTATGAAAAAAACAACGGCAAATACCGTCGGTTTTTTTCATATGAATTCATCAGCCGTTTTTCAAAACGCATAAAGGTAAAAAAAAATTAATTTTGACTTTTTTACAAAATAAGCTAGTTTAGATGTCTACAAATGTAATTGAATACATATTTTCAAAGAGTTCTTAAAAAATTCATAAAAATTATTTGTTTCAAAAAACGTTTTACAAAGAGTTTCTCCTAATAATTTTTTTTCAATTGCGTTTTTATCGAAATACGTAATAAACATTGTGTCTATATATATATATATATATATATATATATATATATATATATATATATATATATATATATATATATATATATATATATATATATATATATATATATACAATAAGGCTAAAAATGAGACTTTTTGCAAGTCTGGCCCTGCCAAAATTGTAGTATTTAGCAGGAGTTGACAGCCAGGGCTAGAAATAAATTCATAATTCTTTATATATTATAATTTTATACTTACATTTACTTTTATTAAAATCTTCATTGAAATTGAATTTTTATTATTTTTGATATTAATTTTTGTAAATAGAAACAATCGCGGTTAAAAAAAGATTTCTTACTAAAGTTATATACACTTTAAACTTTAGTTATTTGTGAATAATGCTAGATTATCTCCTAGAAATTATGTAAAAACATTATTTTAGGTATGGTAAGTTTTACCAAAGTTATCATTTAAATAATTTTAGAAGAAGAAAAAATTTAATCTGTGCCTACATTATGGTCTGTATTTAATTTTTAATTTAGTAAATTTTTTAAAATAGTAAATTTTTTAGTCATTACCTTTAATATTTTTTGAAAATATAGTAGTGTGAATCATTTAAAACTAAAATTATGACTGGGTTACCTTTTTTTGTTATAGTTTTACTTTTATTTTAAGGTTTAAAAATACTGACAGAAATAATATTTACGCCATAACGCTGACATTTATTTTCTGAAAACCCTTTTTCAATGTCTCAAAACCTTTTTGCAATGTCAAATCATAAAATTATTTTGAGTATCTGGAATTTTTCCCTTCTTAAGCAGAGCTTTTTGTTGATATTTTTTTATAGTTGGGTGGTTTTTATGAAGTGATCATCCAATATACTTTTGAGTTTACGTGTTTCTTTCATTTGCCAGTAAGTACTCTTCATGCTGTTGAATTCAGCATGAATACTCTCTGCACTCTGTTCTCTAAAACTTACTCCCCATTTCCTAATGAAAGATGATGCATGATATTCAAGCATATGAAGCTTAGGTGTAATTGAATCGTTTAGCCAATTATCACGGTATTTCATAAAATCTTTAATATGATTTTCTGTGAATATATAATAATAATAATAATAATAGTAATAACAACAATAATAATAACAATAATATATACATAATAATAATTATTATTATAATAAATGCCATACCAAGATTTCGAATGTTTTCTTCGTTGAACTGCTTGCAGGAGTTAATGGCTAACCCCAAATTTATCAAATAGGACTTTAAAGTTCCGACAAAGTTCAATAGTTTTTTTGTGTATGTCAGTATTGTTGAACCCAAGTTTGACTACAAGCTTTGGTATTGAGTTGCATAGTTCGAGGATACTTTTCATCTAATAATGTTTTTTAAGTAAAATAAGTTATAGGTTATATAATATATAAATTATATATGTTAAATTACACTTTCAATTTATACTTTTATCTTATATATATTAGATATACATATACAAATAAACAAATACATACTGACCATACCTATTTAAATATGCTTTTTTTCTTTATTTGGAATAAACAAATAAACTACTTTATGTTTAAGAACTATATGATTAGTTTACCTTTAACATTTTGTTAACATGGTTACCAACAAAACTTTTCCCATGGTATGCTCGTAGCCCTAACAATTTAAGTACCTCGTCGAGTTTATTTACTAGTGGATTAGATGACATCTTTACATGGTCAGTTTCTTTCATTATTTTCAATTCTGGGATCTATGAATATAAATATGGCGATTGATTCAAAATGTATTATTTATGATTTATATTTTTAGTGAATAGTAAAATTTAAAATGTTTACCTTTACTTTTTTTTCTTCAAAGTGAATTATGCGTGGTTCCAATACTAACTTCATATATTCTTTATTTTTAGGATTAGATAATATGTGAGTTTCAAGTGCTTCTGTTATGATTTTTATCTTCAAGATCCTGAGTACCTATTTAAAGTTGTTTTATTTGACATTGCTTCTCAATATATTTGTTAAACTCTTCACAGTCAAGTGTTTGGTTGTTTACTGCCAAATGTTTGCAATATTTTTTGTTTAATAATATGAAAGCATCAATATTCCTTGTGATAACACTTGTTGAATTTAATGCAAATATATCTGATAGACTTATCTGTGATGCTGTTGACAAGGTTGAGAAAATTGGTATTGGAGCCTGATAAATATTTTGATGATTCATGCGTTCTGACAGTTGTGACACTTTAAATAACTTACCACAACGTTGCTAACATTCTTCTTGAATATTATTTATCATTTCAATAACATTGTTATAGGAGGTTAATCCATCAATTGAAATTGAAAAGGAGCATTTAGAACATTTTGTTTTAGATAATAGTTTATTATTGATAAGTGGTAATACATGATGCACAAAACAAATGCAGACAGTTTTTTAAAATAGCTGGTTTAAACATAATACTATTACAAATATAAACACAAAGATGTACATGTGGGTTAAAGGTTTTGTAATATGAAATGGCGTCTTGATAAAAATATTCATCTTGGGCAGATGTTAAACGCATCCGGCTACTGTTTTGTAGAAGGTCTCCTAGACAAATACTTTAGGGGTAAACAGATTCTATCTGTTGACCAGCCTCGCACCCCTTCTTTATCTATTAGACTGATGCAGATATATTTTTAAAACACTGTTTCTAGTTTAGGATGTTGAATGCTGGATCTCCTTGACTCAGTGCATGGATTTTGCTTGTGTCTCTATTTTTTTGACCAGACAACTCATTCTATTATCTCCTTATGAGGATCTCTAAAACTCAGTTTTATATTTAAGAGGCCGGCTGGTAGTCAGTTTACCCGAACTCTGAGGTAGCTCTCAGAGAGGCTGATTCAATCAGCAGTTGAAAAATATCAGAATGATAACTGTGCCTTGTTGTGCATGAATGGTGTCCCAGTTCGTAATTTTGGTGTGCATCGTTAAGGCCACATTTGAAGCCCTTTGTTACAGCTTAGGGTTAATTAATAGTAATAGTAACAGTGTACTGAGTACAATCTATGCTTTGAGTCAAGTTTTTTAACAAATTTAAAAAATGACTAAAGTACCAAAACAATAAAACACATAAAACCATTATCATCACCAAGTTCTCTATCATTCACTAATATTCATGGTCTTCAAAGTAACTTTTCTTCTGTTGAGTCTTATCTCTTGCAAAGTTCACCAGACCTACTTTCTCTTTGTGAGACTAATTTAAGTTTAGTTGAGTTATCTTGTGATTTAAGCATTGATGGTTATCTTCCTTTAATTTATAAAGACTTCAATTATCACATGCTTGACCTGGGCATTTACATTCGTAAGAATTCACCCATTTGTCGGCAAACTAGGTTTGAATTCACCGACAATTCTTTTATGTGCTTTCACCAGTTCACTTCATGTTTTTAGTACCACTTCACTCAATCACCTTTCTCTTTGTTCTATATCGCTCTCCTTTGTCTCAAGACTCTTTTTGATGATATTTTTCTTGTGACTTTTGGAGAACCTTTAACAGTATCAATAAAGGGAAAAACTATTATTCCAACTCTATTGTATGGTTCAGACTTTGTTACCTCACCTAAAGACAAAGCTGGACTGTTTGCTAAGAACTTTTCATCAATATCATCTCTTGATTCCACTAATAGCGTTCTACCTAATATAGCCGTCAAACAACCGTTGATCCATTGCTTGACATTCGTATCATTCCAGCTTCTGTATCTAAAGTGATTTTCTGCTTAAACTCTTCTTTAGCTTGTGGTCCGGACAACATACCTGTTATAGTCTTGCACAATTGTTCTTAGGAGCTGTCGTCTATACTTTCAAAACTATTCAACAAGTGTTTATCAGTATCTTGTTTTCCAGCATGATGGAAAGCGGCATCTGTAGCTATTATCCCTATTTTCAAAAATTCTGGAGATTTGATTCATCTAACTACCATCCCATTAGTCTTCTTCTTATTATTAACAAGGTTTTTGAACCTTTAATTAACAAACACTTTATCTCTTATC